AGCACCCTCTTTTCTTTAGCCGAGATGTGACCTCCTGAAAGGCCACACAGTCATAAGTGCCACCTGCGGGAAAGGACCCCAGCACCGAGGGGTCTCCTCCAGCAGCATCTGTGCCTTGTCACCCTCCTAGGGGCTCCTCTTTCTTCTCCAGAATCCACTTTTCCATTCTTTGTCTCCAGCTGTCCTGGCCTCAGTGCCTGCTCCTGTGGCCTGCCCCACCAGAGGCCTTACCAGGCAGAATCTGGGGGGCCAGGCCCTGCGGGATCCCCACCTCCAGCCAAATTATGGGAGTCCACGGGCAGCAGATGCAACAATAGACTCTTGGCCTCAGAATCTTAAAACCCTGAACAGAGCCAGTGCAAAGACAAGCCCAGATGCAGTGAGGAGAATCTTCCGCCTGGACCCAGCTGGGTACCTCCATACTCATAGCTCCCAGCTGCCCTCACAGATGCAGGAAGCCCCACAGACACCCAGAGTCTGGCCCTTCTGCCAAAGGGACCTGGGCAGTCACTCAGAGAATTCCAGGGGTGGAGCTGCGTCCTGAATTAGCTAGGTCACAGCCTTATCCGGCTTCACAGACCTGAGCTAATCCCCTCAGCCTGGAGGAATCACCACCCACCCCCGCCACCAAGGCCCTGAGCTCAGGACTCTCGTTAGAGACCTCACCTGGTTGAGGGATTGGGCCACTGAACCCCTGGGGGTCTCAGTCTGGGCTGAGGCCAGAGCATGAACCCAGAGCTGGAGAGAGACACCCGGGTAGGGAGGAAGGTACTTGGATGAGGTCTAGGGCCCTCGGTGAGCAAAAGGACTTCAGGGAATGAGTCTGAGAGGGGACCAGAGTGGCCACAAAGGAGGTGGCGTCATCCACTCAGAGCCCCTTTCCCAAGGTCCAGCTGTGCGCCAGCCACCAGGTGAGGCCCGGGCGGGCCCTGCTGGGAGCGTGGCATGAATGAGCAGGCCAGCAAAACCACGCAGGAGGGCAGAGAGGAGTGGAGAGCAGCAGCCGGCGTGCAGGCAGGGGAGAGACATCAGCGCCCGCCACCGGCTGACGGGCCTTAAAGCAGACGGCCCTGAAGGCGCCAGGCTCGCTGCTAAGCGCAAGAGTGGGCGTCCCATTTAACACAGGCCCAGACTCAGGGGAGAAATGCTGTTCAGATGGGGGCCGGAAGGCGGCCAAGGTCACAGCTCCCAGAGGCTCCCAGGCACTTAGACGGACTGTTTATTCCCACTGTCAGCCCCTAATTGACTGGGAGGCGCCTGACACAGCACAGGCATTAAGCCTTTTTTTCCTCATGATCAGAGAGACGGAAAAAAATCATTAAAAAACAACCTGGAGATGTTTAAAGTTAAAACTGACCTTCCCCATATTCCACCCAGACAATCACTGTTTAGAATCATTTCTATTCTATTAAGAATAATATTTAAGATATCCATGATTAAGAATAACTTCTATTTTTTTTGTGTCTGTATTGCCTTTTGCTCTTGTTCCCTCTTTTTTTTTTAGTAAGAATTATCCCATGGACTAAGTCAAAATTTCTCATTGTCATTCTATACCCCCTGGTTCCCCGACCACAAACCTGATGTGTGCTCACAACAGAGAACATTATTCCTTGTCCTTACTTCGCCCCAGTGGACGTGCGCACTTCCTCACCCCTGCTTTGTCCACTCTCTGTATCGATCGCTGTGTCTCTGGTTTATCCTAAGGCACACGTTCGAAGGGCCATGTTGAATCCTAGAGATTCACATGTTTTCCCAGATTTTTATTTCAGAAAATTTGGCATCTACTGAAAAGTCACAGGAATCATACACTCATACCTGTAACTGTTTCTTCAGTTGACCAACTGGCAGCCTTTGGCTGCAACGCTTTCCTTTCTCTCTCCCAAAGGGTTGCAGACGCATCCCCTCCATAAATCAGCATCGTCATCGACCAGCAAGACACTGTCTCTGTAACTTCACGCAATTATATCGCTCAAGGAATTGACCACGACTAGAATCCTATTATCTCACAGACATTAAAGATGTCCGCCGCCCTACTTCCTCTTCTCGCCACAAGGCCCTTCACAGCCTTTTATTTTTGACCTAACAGATTCTTTATTTTAACATGGGTATTTGCCAATCATGCAGCAAAGCCAATTAGGAGGTTTTTGTTATATGACATGACATGTGATTTTTAAAATAAATTCTGCAAATTTCACAAAATAGAGTTATTATTACACTTTGAATGATTCAGACAGTTTCTAAAAGTCAGTTTTTCTAGTTATTCTATAAGTTCCTCTTCACTACTGAATTGGGGTAAATTCTGTGCAATTATTAATTTTACATATAAACGTGTTTATTTCTCAAACAAATAATTTTTGGTGAAATAGCATCAATCATGACAACTTTGCCTAATAAGTCATTTATAAATAAATAACAATAAAATTGTATCTTGGGTAATTATTAAAAAGGGCCATTACTCTATCTCCTATATTAGTGGGATAAATGTAAAAAAGTAAAAGAAATTAAAAGAAAAATAAAATACCAATATTGTACATATGTTCACTAGTGAACAACCCGGCTGGACGGGGAAGGTCAGCAGGAGGCAGCGGTGAGCTGGCTAGTGTTACACAAACAACTCTTGTGAGAGGAAAAAAAAAAACCCTGGCTTGCGGCTTGTGAAGTGTGAGTGTCTGGAGTGTAAGTTCCCCTTCTTTGGCTGGTTTCAAGCTACCAACCCGATGTCACTGAGAAAACGGGGAAAGGACTGTGAAGTTGGGCTTTATTAAAACTAAAAACTTTTACTCCGTGGGGACACAAGTCATAGACTAGGAACCAAAGCTTGTGGGGGGCCTCTTTGGTGGCGCAAAGGGTTAAGCGCCAGCACTACGAAACTATCTGAAGTCACTGCAGCCTGAGTTCAATCCCCGGCCAGGGAGGTGACCTACATGGGACGGCAGACTGCTCCTCACTTGCCCGCTGCTCCCCTCAGCAGTGTATTTCAGTCAATCTGCCTGTTCTGCTCCCTCTGTCTCTGGTGAACCCACTCACCCCCTGAGCCTCTGGCCTACGCCCCTGTTCTTGTATGCATAAATAAATAAATCTTAAAAAAAAAAAAAGGAACCAGAGCTTGCAAACCCCACATGTGGTGAAGGACTTGTGTCCCAAATATACAAAGAGCTTCTGAAGCTCAGCAGTAAGGAAATAACAGTCCAGGTACAGAATGGACAAAAGTTCCAGCAGACACCTCACCAGGGAAGAGATTCTGTTTTGTTCCCTGGTGGACTCCAAGTGCTTCATGTTGTGTGGGATGAAGGAGGCTGACAAGAGGCCCCACCATGGCTGCTGAATTCCTGGGGGAAATTCTGAAAATATGGGCAAAGAGACAGGCAACGTGTGGCATGGCCCGTCCTTGAGTGTCAGGGCCTGGATGCCATGCTGGGGCCACCAGGCCGTGGCAGGCCCTTCTGCCTGAGGCAGGAAGGACTGGTCCATGGCTATTCACTCAACAACAGGGGCAGGTCTAGCCTGTCCCCTCTCAGCCTTGACTCAGGTCTATAGAAATGCTATGCAGAGAAAATGTCAAGTAAGAGGAGCCAGGGGGCTGACAGAGGTCCCCCAGATTCCGCTGGGGGGCTGGGCTATGTGGCAGGTCCAGGGCCCCTGGACCCAGGGTCCTCTATCCTGGGGCAACAATGCAGCCTGTTTGTTTGCTCCTGAGGGCGGACAGGGCGTCAGGCCCAGGGCCACCACCCCCCAGCTTCTGGGGGTTTCCTGGCCATCCTAGGACTCCTTGGCTGACAGGGCATTGTCCAGCCCCAGCCTTCATCTTCACATGGTGTTTCCCTGGGTGTGTCTGTGTCCAAACTCCCCCTTCTCATGACACCAGTCGTGCTGGACGCTCTCCCCCCACCCCCCCACCCCATGGCCTCGTCTTAAGGAATCACAGCATCAAAGACCGAGTTTCCACATGAGGTCACATTCTGAGGTCCCGGCAGATGGGCTTCCACATGGGGATCTGGTGGGGTCACAATTCAACCCACAACACAGGTCCAGCTCTTGATAAACTGTCTGCAAGGACAGCTACCCGCTGGCTGCTGTGCCACCCACCCCACTCCTGAAACCCCAGCGCCCAGCCTCACTGGCACGGAGCCCGAGGGTCTGCAGGCAGTTCTGATCAGCCCACTGAGCTGCCCTGATTCGGGTGGCCAGGTTGCTTCCAGGTGGTTCCACCCCAGGGCCGCTTCCTCGTCGACTGTGGGTGACCCTCAGCACTGACGCTCACGCTCTGCCCACAGGAGGGGTCTCCTGAGCCTGCGTCCCTGCGGGGGACTGGAGGATGTGGGTGCAGACGGATGTGCATGAGCCCCGCGGCTCTGCCACCTGAAGCTCTGGGATAGGAGTGAGGATTGTTTACTTAAGGAGGTGGATGCTAAGCTCTTAGCATACATTGGAGAACAGGGAAAAGATATTTGCTTTAGAAATGAGAGCCAGAGTCACTGAGTCCCTGAGGGCTGCAGAAGAGAGAGCAGCTGATCCAGGGAGTGAGCTGGTCTCCAGCAGGTGAGGCCTGGGGAGGAGGGGGCCACACTTTGAGGAGGATCCAGACGTCTCTGGCCTTTGCCAGGTTTAGAAACTCATAGCAAAGTGGAGGAGGAGGAGGAAAGAGCACAAAGGGCCTCTCCTGTCCCTCACCCTCGGTTAGGAGGCGGGAGCAGTGATTTAGTGGGGTCCTGGCTGCATAAGCGAGTCCAAAGCCTGGTACTGACCTTTCCTGGAAACTTTTGCAGGGACTTAATCGCTGGTCACGCCCAAAGTCGGTTATGGGAATTTACTCAGTAAGAATGAAGCCCGTGGAAAGATTACAAAATAATCTGAATGTTGGCAGCAGCTAACAGAACAAGACGTTTTTGCCTCCTGAGCTCCGTCCTGAGCTGATGAGGGGGAAAAGGGGGGATTTACCAGGGGCACCGGCAAGCCCAATTTTGATGGGGGAGGATCCAACTAGGCCGCACCCTGCCTCTTTGCATACCCCAGTCCCCCAACAGAGCAGCTATTTAAGGAGCAGGCATTCCAAAAAGGCAGGCATTAGCTTGGAATTAACAACTCCGGCATCCTCTGAGAGGTAAATATTCAGAATTTTATTCCTTGTTGGGAGAACAAGAGATCTTGCCCATTGGCTGACTTTAAGAGGGGCCTGCTGGGCACATGGGTGCCTGTGTGTGTGTACCTGTATAGAGGGTACATGCACGTGTGCTTCCAGGGCAAGATCTAGTTAGTGCAAGAGGGTAGGTGTGCAAAAATGTACAACGCCAGGTGTGTACGCTTGCAGATGTGGGCACATATGTGTTTGTGTTTGGGGTATATGTGCAAAGGTTTCTGTTAAGTTTGGAAAGAGAGGGTGTTGCTTTAATTTTGAGACCATGGAGGGAAGTCCAAAAACAAAATCCACTGCGGGGACAGGTAATGTCTAATGGGGGACACATGACCTACGGCCTCAGGGATACCCCACTTTGTCAGGATCACCCAGCCACAACCTTCCCGGAATCCTCAGCCCCAGGAACCTGGGGGATACTTGGTGGAGTGCGTGGGAGTCTGGGTGGCTGGGAGCCTCTGTGTGTGTGTGTGTGTGTGTGTGTGTGTGTGTGTGTGTGTGTGAAAAAGTTCCAGAGCTGGGAGCCTCAGGGGGTCCTGCTCTTGCACACGCCTGTGCCTCTGAGTGGATGAAGGTCGTCAGACTGGACACCCCAGTGGGAGCCTGTCTGGGGGACCCTTAAAGGCTCCCCCACCCAGGTCTGGGCAGTGTAAGCCACAGAGCAGGCCTGGTGGCAGCGGCTCCCTAAAAAGGTCTCTGGGCCCACCTACCTGCTTCTTCCCCCACAGAACCTGGCATGAGGACCCTCCTGCTGCTGGCGCTGGTCGCGGCCTTTGGTGAGAGCTCATCTCTGGACACAGAAACAGCCAGGAAGGGGGAGGCCCTGTTGTCCCAGCTTCCCACTGCAGCAGGGGCTCCCTCAGTGGCAGAAAGAGATAGTCCACAGGTGGGGACGGGGGAGCAGCAGAGTGAGACCGAGAGGAAAGACATGGCGTTCCTGCTGCCATCCCCTGGCAATTTCTTTCCAGGCCTGCAACAAGCTGATGGAGCCATATGGAATTTTTGGAAAATGATTACAAAGGTGACAGGAAAGGAAGGTGCATCCAGTTATGGCTTCTATGGCTGCCACTGTGGCGTGGGAGGCAAAGGATCGCCCAAGGATGCAACGGATCGGTGAGGCCACCCCACTCCTGCCTTCCCTCTGCCTCTGTGGCCTGGGTGGGGCCCGAGCTCCAGGGGTGAGGCTGGGGCCATGGGCACAGACCCTAGCAGGTGGTAGCAGAGATGCAACCAGCATGTTACAAACCACTCTAGAATATTCCAAAGTTAAGGGGTCACTGCCAGGGTTAAGGGCATAAGACCAGGGTCACCAGGTTCCCTGAAACTATAGGGCCAAGCCCCAATTCTGCATTCTTGCTACAGATGCTGCGTTGCACATGACTGTTGCTATGCCCGGCTGATAAGACGTGGGTGTTCCACCAAATTTCTGAACTACAATGCTGATTACCGAGGGTCCACAATCATCTGTGGTAAGGAGAGTCCTCCAGCTCCAACCAGTGCCCTTTGCATAATTACTGGGTGTCCTTGTGCTGGCACTGTGCTGGACGCAGATGCAGATTCAGGGGGACAGGATTCAGACTTTGTCCCAAAGCAGTAGGGAGCTCTGAACAAAGGTGTGATGAGGTCAATTTACAATTCAGAGGATCCCCCTGGGAGCAGTGTGGATGGAGACAGACGGATGGATGAGCCAGTGAGAAACACTTGTCACAAGGCCGACGGGAGCTTGGAAGAACGTGACAGAGAACAGTGGTGTTCAGGAGGGAAGCAGTGGAGAGTGAAACCCAGGGGCCTCTGGAGTAGAACCAGCCAGTCTAGGGGTGGAGACTGGGAGCTGTGATGTGTGGATGGGGCAACTGAGGAAAGGCCCCAGGAGGAGTTCTGAGCCCCACTAGTGAGAGGAGGAGGAGACTATTGAGAGCACACTGAGCTGAAAGGACTTTAGGAAAACCCAGGAGATGGCCGCAGGCAGCAATGCAGCAATCCCAGCACAGGGGAGGGGCCTGGACTGGGCAGCAGAGAGCTGGGGCTTGGCTGTGCTCACCACTATGATGCTACAGACCCAGAAAGAAGACAGAGGAGGGATAGTCAGAGCGTGGGGGGCCAAGACAAGGTCATGCAAGCAAGAAGGAGCGCGCTCACAGCAGGTCCGACAGAGAAGGCGGGACAAGGTGGCTGGGATCCAGAGGCAGGAAGCCCACTGAGCAGGGAGTCGCCTCTGGGCAAGCCGTTTCCACGGAAGGAAAGCAAAGGGCCAAGTCAGATTAGAGCGGGCTGGGAGCAGGTCGGGGAGAAGCACAGACTGTAGGTCTGGCCAACTCTCTGCAGAAAGTTGCCTTTGCAGCAGAGGCGAGAGTGGGCGGCATCTGGAAGGCTCTGCTCGGTGTCCCCAGAGAGCCAACCACAAGGGCACTGGGAGAAAGCCTGCGCGAGCACCCCGTGGGGAGTTCTTTAGGATCACAGTCCAGCCTCCCATCACGGCGTCTCCACTGCCCCCGTATCTTTTGCTGCTGCTTTGGGTGCAAACTGGACCATGTGCAGATAGAAGACTGGGCGAGGGGACGCTGACTCACAGTGGACACCTGGGGGAGGACAGGCCAGTGCCCGGGCAGTGTCCGACAGTTTTGCCAAGAATCCAGCCTTGTCCCACCCTCCTCCCTGCCATGGTGGCAACATCCACACAGTGACGCCCGCACACATGCCGCAGTGGAGGCTCCCCCAGGGCAGAGCTCTTCCTCGAGGGGGGAAACCCACCTTCCAGGAGCACCCCCAGACTTCCCCTGGCGGCTCATAGGTCAGCACAAGGGCACATGCTAGCCAGGGACCAAGGGCAGCCACGATGGCCTCCCAATCACAGCCGTTCCCGGGGGCGGGGCCTTTGCACCTGGGCTTGTCTGCAAACAAGAAGGAGACCTTGGCTGAAGGCGAGGTCTTCACAGAGACCCAGGCCTGGGCTGCTGGGGGTCCCCATCAGGCAGCTTCCCTGGGCAGGGGTTCTGTCCCCTTCAGTCACAACTATCTGGAGCCTAGGTGCTTGTCTCACCATGGAAGCTTCTGGAGCTTGGGGTTGGAGGTGGGGGGGCTGTAAGTCCCCCACCCCAACCCTGGAGGCTCCCACCAGAAGCCTCTGAATACTAACAATCCCTCACCTGGTGTCTATTCTCCTGTGATTGCAGCAAAACAAGACAAGTGTAAGAAACAAGTGTGTGAATGTGATAAAGCAGCTGCCCTCTGCTTTGCGAGAAACAAGAGAAGCTATAATAAAAAGTACCAGTACTACAACAACAAGGCCTGCAAAGGGAAGACCCCCAAGTGCTGAGCCCCCTCCCCCGGGTACCTCCACTGCCCTCGCCAATGCCCTGGCCATGAAGAACACCCCTCTGTGAGCCTGGAGCCCCTATCACCCCAGAGAGAGAGTATCTGGGAGGGCCCCTGAGACTAGAGCCTGTGTGTCCACACTTCCCCAGCCTCCCTGGGCAGCCACTTCCCTGTCTCCCCTGCTGCCCTGTAAGTCCCGTGTCCTGATTGTGGTAGCCCCTGGGCTCAGGCATATCCTCAGAATAAAACATTTCTTGAGAAACTCTGTGTGTGTGTGTGTGTGTGTGCACGCACCCCACCCCCATGCACTGCTAGTGTGAGAACAAGCTGGCACAGGACAGGAGGCTGTAAGGGTGGACATACAGACTGCATCAGACTCCGGTTGAAGCCCCCCAGGACTCCAGCCTGAGCTGGCTTCCCCGGCCCTAGGGTGCCAGCTGTGGTGCCAGCTGCCTAGGCTGGCAGGCGATGAGGAAGCAGTAAGGAATGGAAAGCCCAGGCTGGCAGGGCTGGCCCTGTGAGGCTATGACCTTGGAGCCCCCGGGTCCCCTCTGCTTCCCTGCAATAAGCCAGAGCAGCTCTGCTGGGCCTGTGGGGAGAACAGCAATGCTAGTCTTGGTGTTGGGGGCGCTAGAGCCACTGTCTTCTGGATGCTACATTCTTGTCCCGTGTTGCACACTTGGGGCAGCTGGTCAATCTAATGCTGGCCACCAGGGGTTACCCCGCATCCAGGGCTGCTTCCTGGACACGCGGCAGGTGCCCAGACCCGCAGGGTGTCCTCCGAGTTCAGGATGGGCCACAGCCATCTTGGGCTTCCTATTCCCCGGGAGTCCTGCATTGATTTTGCACTGGGACCCACAAAGTATGTAGCTGGTCCTGCCCTCACCTGGATGTCACGGCCTTTCTGTCACTAGTTCCCACTGGGATATTCCCACCTGCACCCGCTCCAGCCCCACCTGGTCTTACTGTGGTCAGCAGGGCTGCGGGTGGGTCCTGTACAGGCAGTGTGGGTGCGGCCTGAGCTTCCGCCCAGGCACAGAGCAGCAGCTCTTGTCCCGCCACAGCTGACGTCTTCTGTAGGTCTCTCGGCAGAGGTGCCTTTTCTGATTCTACATTAAGTGGCTTCATCTGTTGCTTAGCTGGTCACGTCTCCTCTCGCGATAAGAGGAGGAAAGCGCCAGTAAGGTACCATTCTATCTACTAGCTTGCCCAAGACACAAATGTGGGCAGCCTGCACCACTGGTGAGGCTCTCTGCAGGCCCAGCGCTAGCCAGGATGGTAATGCTCACGCAAGGCCAAGTGGCACATCTATCAAAATTATAAATTATCCTTTGGGTAGTGATTCCACTTTTGCAAATTGGCCTTATGAACACACACACACACACACTCACACACACAGCTTGGCTTTGTCATGACCACATGGTGATCCCAAAGGAGCAAGTCTATGCCACTCTCCTGGTATAGGTCCTCACTGGGAGGAGCTCCTCCGAGCTGAGCACTGTAAGGGTTATGCTGCCTCGTCAGATTCTAAGTTTGCCATTCGAAGTTTGCCACTTCGCTAGTGAACAGGGTCCTTGAGTATGAAAAGGTTGAGTTCAACATCAAGCCATAGGAACTCCCCTTCACTCTGATGGGGATGTAAATGGGACAAAAATTCGGGGGAAAAGTTTGACTGGTCTTTATGACATTGCATATACCTCTACCCTTTGACCAAGCCATTTCACCTCTTGTTACCCAAGACAAGTGTGGATGTCTACACAGATACTTAGGTAAGAATGTTCAGGGAAGTTTTATTTAAAATATCCTCAAACTTGGGCCTCCCCGGTGGCGCAGCGGTTGAGCGCTGGGCTGTGAAACTGCCCGCAGCCTCTGCAGCGCCGTTTGGATCCCCAGCTGCCAGGGAGGGTCCACATGGCGCGCAGACCTCTCCTGCCACGCCCACTGCTCCCCTCAGCAGTGTACTTCGGTCCTTCTGCCTGTTCTGCTCTTGCTCTGGTGCTCTCACCCTCCTGCACTTCTGACTATACCCAGTGCTTGTATAAATAAATAAAAATTTTTTAAAAATTAAAAATAAATAAATAAAATATCCTCAAACTGCAAACAACCTGAATGTCCACATCAGGAGAATGGTTAAGTAAATAATAGCACTTCCCTAGCATGCAATGTTCTCAGAAATAAATAATAGGTTGCTGATACAATACTAACATGAGTTAGTCTCATTGTTATGATCTGAATAGAAGGTAAACATAGAAGAGGACATACCGTATAGGATTCCATTTACAGGAAGCTCTAAAGCAGGAAAACTAAGCTATGTGAAGATAATGGAACAGTAGATTCCCCAGTGTTAGTGTCTGAATTGTGCCCCCCACAAATTCATATGCTGGCATCCTAACCCCCAGTACCTCAGGATGTAACCATGTTTGGAGACGGGGTCTTGAGAGAGGTCATTAAGGTAAAATGGGGTCATTAGCTTGGGGCCCTAATCCAATCTGACCAGTGTCCTAAATGATCGTCAGGACATAGGGACAGGTGGCCATCTAAACCAAGGAGAAGGAAGCAACCCTGCCCTCACCTTCATCTTGCACTCGAATCCTCTAGAATTGTGAGAAAATAAATTTCTGTTGTTTAACCCACCCAGTCCTTGGCAGTGCAAGCAAACAAATACACCCAGGCAAAAACTGATGGGCCAGGAATACCAGGGAACTTTCTGGGAGACGAACTTGTTCTATAGTGTGATGACATGTGTATTACAAGGGTGTATCCATTTGTCAAAGTTGTCTAGCTAAGAATTTTACCTCTAAGAACTGGAGATGATGACGATGATGATGATGATGGTGGTGGTGATGATGGATTAGGGTTGATAGTAATGGTGGTGATGGTGATAGTAATGATGATGGTGGTGGTGGTGATGATGATGGTGATGTGATGATGGTGATGGTGATGATGGATTAGGGTTGATAGTGATGGTGGTGATGGTGATAGTAATGATGATGGTGATGGTGGTGATGATGATGGTGATGATGGTGATGGTGATGGTGGTGATGATGATGGTGATGATGGTGATGGTGATGATGGTGATGGTGGTGATGATGATGATGATGATGACAATGACAATAGCCTGGAGGCGCAAAGGGAGTGAAATAGAGATGATAACAGACAGTAGAATGTTGATAAACATTGAAATGGATGATGGGTCCAGGGGAATTCATGATTCTTTTACTTATATATGTTAAACATTTTCAAAGATTAAAATGAGAAGGATAGACACATGGGAGTGATGCTCCCTCTCCTCCTGGCTTGTGGTGACTCCATGACTCCCCGCTCCGTTCTTCCACGTGACTGATTAGGATATGGAAAAGTTCTGAGATTCAGGCTTAGTGCAAGACCCATGCCAAGGTTTCCCAGAGCTGATGCTGCTTAGGAGTAGCTGCTCAGTCTTTGGGGCTCTGGGTTGACATCCCGACTGCCATTATTGACCAAGGAAGACTTTGTATTCATCACTTGACCTTTTTCAGCCTCTGTTTTCTCATCTGTACGGTGGAGTTGATAGTGACTATTTCACTAGGGAAGTTGAAAAGATATTAAACATAAGAAAGTATATAAGTATTTACAATGCACCCCATTTTCCTCCTTCTGTCCTTGACTATGCCAAGCTCAGCACTGCCTCATGTCCCTCCGCAGCTGTCCCCCTGCCTGGGTGGACCTTCTGGACCCTCGTAGGACAGACTCCTTCGTATCCCGTGTGATCTTGCTTCAGATGCCCTCTGTCTCACTCACTGTCCCTGCACCCACCTAAACACAGCCCCTGCCCGCCCACTAGTTTACCTTCCGTTTATCACTCATCACTGTAGTTTGCTCATGGCTGCATCTGTCCCCTCCACGGCTCGCAAAAGGGGTTCTTGCCTGTCTGGCTTTGGCTGGATCCTTAGTGCCTGGTTCTGGGCCTAGAATGTTGAAATTGCTCAATAAGCGTCTTGTTGAGTGAATGAATGGAAAGTGGGAATGACAGCGTCACCCAGCTCTGAGGGTTCCTCAGAGGAGTGAATGAGAACATGCATTTCAGATGCGTGGCCCAGGAACTGCCTGGAAGGAGGTGCCGAAGGAGGTGAGCGGGCTGCGGAAGCACTGCTGTTGCACTCTTGGCGCTGTTGCCGCTTATTACCCCGGCTTCTGAGCGCCTTTCTCCATCGCTCTCATTTCCATGGAATTTACTCCCAGCCACCACCCAGCTGAAAAGCGGGAAAGTCCCTCTCTCAGCCATCTGGCTCTTGATCTCCCCCACGCCCCATGAAGCCGTGGGTGTGATGGTCCCTGGGGGACTGAATCCTTCTGAAACTTCGCCTTGGAAAAAGTCTCCTGGGCTAGGTCTGGAATAAATGTGGGATGCGCAGAGGGTCTGGATTTGATGTTCAAGGTCTTCAGAGACCAGTAAAAGCCTCGTCTCTTTCCTGGGCAATGAAGATCCCAGGGGATCACTGTGAAGCTGTGACTGGAAAAAAGGGTCATTTTTCTAAAGATTCAGCCTTTCCTGGAAGATCCCCTTCTTGGAGATCATTATGGTTTTCTTGTTTGTTTGTTTATACATTTTTACATCATTTTTCATTTTTGCACAATGTATGCATTTTCATCTTGGTTATAGTTCCCATGCAACTCCCACCCCCCTTGTTTTGATCCTACTCCCTCCTCACACCACCCACCCCCCATAGTGTGTCTCTGGTTTATAGTTGCTTGTTGATTTTGCTTTTTACTTTATTAGAATTAGGTTTTTTCCTGGTCCCTTATTTAGGTTTTCTAAGTTCCTGCAATGAGGAGATGATTATGCTTTCCAAGAGTCCATCCTCAGAGTCTCTTGAGCTGAGGTAAGCAGGAGGGCCATCTGAGACCCAGGTCACCAGGTCCTGCCCTGGGGTGGGGACTTACAGCGGAGGGTGTGCCTCCAACAGCCCTGGTCCCCTTCCAGACCAAGATCTGGGCGTATGACTCTGGAATGTTCTGCCAAATGTCCCCAGCACTTCCAAGACCAGGCTCACCCTGGGGAATGAAGGTGACGTATGTCACATGTGCAAGAAATGAGCCGAAGAGTTGGCTGAGGGGAAGTGGTTGTGGGAGGAAGGTGATGATGGATTCGGTTAAAACACAGAGGCAGTGAAAGCAGCGGGATGGTGGCTGTTTCGCTCACTGAGAGATGTCAATAATTAAGAAATCAGTGCTTCATTTGGGCCAGAGAGTAACTCGGAACTGCTACCCACTGGACTCAGGCTGACAGCCCAGCCAAGAGCTCCAGTATCCTGAGCGGTGGGGAGATGGGCTTTGGTTCAGGACAGCTCTGGGCTTGAATTCCCACTGTCACTAACCCGCTGATCACACATCTGTGTGTGTGTGTGTGCGTGTGAGTGTGTGTACCTATGTACTTACAGGTAAAATTTCCAGAAGTGGGGTCGCCAAGTCAAAGGAAAAATGCATTTCCAATTGACCAACTGCTGAACCTATTCCACCACACCCTCTCCTCCTAGGCTGTTACACTGGCTTCTGCAAGACACCGGTTCTTATTTTATTCACTTTCCCCTTATCCTCCAGCTGCACCACCACTTTATCTTTCACAGGTTTACTTAGACATGCAATTAGTACCTTGAAAGTACTGAGTGTCTGTGTGCGAGTGCATGCGTGCGTGTATGCTCTTAAATGACACCTGAGATCGTGCTGTGTCTTTCCCCTTCTCTCCCCCCAGGGAGCATGGGCTGCCGGCGCCCTTTGCTAGAAGCAATGGATTTGAATGGAGAGAAGCTTGGGTGGGTTCTTCCGGGAGTCTGAGCTGATCACTGCTGGGCCAGGAGGGTGGGACGAGGAGGCCCAGTTGGGCAAGGGCGATAGAGGTTGGGAAGAAGATTCCTACCTTGGCCTCTCCATCCTAACAGCAGAGCTGAGCTGCTCACGCTCTGCGGTAACAGTGGGACGTCCTAAATGCTGCCAGGGAGGGATGGTAGAGGCAACTGGGCTGCTGAGTCCCTTCAGGCATCATTCTTTTTTTTTAAGATTTATTTAGTTATGCATACAAGAGCTGGGGTGCAGCCCAGAAGTGTGGGGGGTGCGAGGAGCCACCAGAGACAGAGTGGGCCATTCTTGCATCTCGTCCTCCCTACCTCCTCCCTCCCTGCGCCGCCCCATCCCAGGGTGGCTGATGCCAGCCTCAGCATGTACTTTCCTGCCTGTGCTGCTATTTCCCAAGGGCACCTGCTGGGGGTGCCAGCAAATGGCAAGCATCCGTTCTAGACCTTGTCAATTCAGAGCAATTGTGTGGCAATTTAAAAAAATCAAGAATCACCGTGGACGTGTATGTGAGTGTGCATGTGTGTGTGTGCATTAATAGGGTAAATTTCCAGAAGTGGGACTGCTCAAAGGATAAATGTCTTTGGGATTTTGGTAGACAGGTCAGTTTACCCTCTGTGGGCATTTTGCTTCCACCAGCGTCCTTTGAGAGAATGCCCATCTCCCCTTGCAGCCGTCCCGCTAAAGCAGGTTGTCACACAGCTGGACTTATCTGTTCTAACAGACAGAAGTGGCATCTCAGCAGACTTTTAATTGGGTTTCTCTTCTCATGAGGGTGAACAGGATCACAGCTACAGCCATCAGATGAAATATCTTTGTGCCAAATTAGAAAAGGCCCCTCCTGTGAGAAAGGCACGAATCACTCCCACCGACGCCATGGGAAAGCTGACACAAGTGGAGTCATTTTAAAGTGGAGCCAGAGTAGCCACTCCAGAGACACTGCCTTGCTGACCTTCATTCTTGAGCTTTTCCTGGGACAACCTGCCCAAGCACGACTGTTTTGAGAAACAAAAAGCCAACAATTGTTGGAGATAATCACCCTCAAGAGTGGTGGCCGAGGACATTTTGCCTGCAGGCAGAATCAGCAGCCAATCATGGAGAGCCGAGGGTGGCTTCAGCTTGGCCACACTGATGAGTATTTTGAAACCACATACTTCATCCCCCTCTGTTCCTTCCATGAAGACCCCTAGCTTTTGTTCCTGCTCAGGAGCCTGCTGGTTTTATACAGAATCTCTACTCTTGGATTGCAAATTGCAAATAGTGATGGCAAATAAGCGATGTCCCCTTATAATCGCCTCCTGATGTCAGGGTGCTTCCTGCAGGACCCACCTGCAACCCTGAGGACCACAGTAAGACCAGGTGGGGCTGGAGCTGGTGCAGGCGGGAATATCCCAGTGGGAACTAGTGACAGAAGGGGTGTGCCCAGCAGCTGGCACCCTAGGGCCGGGGAAGCCAGCTCAGGCTGGGGGTCCTGGGGGGCTTCAACCAGAGTCTGACACAGTCTGTATGTCCACCCTTACAGCCTCCTGTCCTGTGCCAGCTTGTTCTCACACTAGCAGTGCATGGGGGTGGGGCACTTCCGCGTCCGCGCACGCACACGCGCACACACACACACACAGTTTCTCAAGAAATGCTTTATTCTGAGGATATGCCTGAGCCCAGGGGCTACCGCAATCAGGACATGGGACTTGCAGGACAGCAGGGGAGACAGGGAAGTGGCTGCCCAGGGAGGCTGGGGAAGTGTGGACACACAGGCTCCAGTCTCAGGGGCCCTCCTCCCGGATACTCTCTCTCTGGGGTGAGAGGGGCTCCAGGCTCACAGAGGGGTGTTCTTCATGGCCAGGGCATTGGCGAGGGCAGGGAGGAAGCTAGGAAGGAAGCTCAGCCTGGGGTGTGGAGGCACCCGGGGGGAGGGCGCTCAGCACTTGGGGGTCTTCCCTTTGCAGGCCTTGTTGTTGTAGTACTGGTACTTTTTATTATAGCTTCTCTTGTTTCTCGCAAAGCAGAGGGCAGCTGCTTTATCACATTCACACACTTGTCTCTTACACCAGTTTTGTTTTGCTGCAATCACAGGAGAATAGACACCAGGTGAGGGCTTGTTAGTATTCAGAGGCTTCTGGTGGGATCCGCCAGGGTGGGGGTGGGGGACTTACAGCCCCCCACCTCCAACCCCAACTTCCAGAAGCTTCCATGGTGAGACAAGCACCTAGGCTCCAGATAGTTGTGACTGAAGGGGACAGAACCCCTGCCCGGGGAAGCTGCCTGATGGGAACCCCCAGCAGCCCAGGCCTGGGTCTCTGTGAAGACCTCGCCTTCAGCCAAGGTCTCCTTCTTGTTTGCAGACAAGCCCAGGTGCAAAGGCCCCGCCCCCGGCGGCTGGGAATGGTTGCGATTGGTGGAGGCCATCATGGCCGCCCTGTCTCCTTTGCCGTGACTGGTCCCTGGCTAGCATGAATTGCTAGGTGGTTTCCTAGGGTCCCTTGGACCCCACTGTGCCCTCTTCTCCCCTGACACCTGCGCTGTCTTTAGGACTCACTGGGTGTCACCACCTCAGGAGCATTCCTTGACCCTCAGCTATGTTAAGGACACCCTCTTTTGCTTATTTCACATAAGCACACTGTGTTTTCATTTTCCTCAATTCCCTCTCAGCTGTGAGCTTGTAAGACAGGGACACTGTCCCCCGAAACTGCATCTGTGCCCCATGCAGTGCCAGCACAAGGACATCCAGTAATCATGCAAAGGGCACTGGTTGGAGCTGGAGGACTCTCCTTACCACAGGTGACTGTGGACCCTCGGTAATAAGCTTTGTAGTCCAGAAATTTGGTGGGACACCCACGTCTCATCAGCCGGGCATAGCAACAGTCATGTGCAACGCAGCACCTGTGGCAAGAATGCAGAATTGGGGCTTGGCCCTACTGTTTCAGGGAACCTGGTGACCCTGGTCTTATGCCCTTAACCCTGGCAGTGACCCCTTGACTTTGGAATATTCTAGAGTGGTTTGTAACATGCTGGTTGCGTCTCTGCTGCCACCTGCTAGAGTCTGTGCCCATGGCCCCAGCCTCACCCCTGGAGCTCGGGCCCCACCCAGGCCACAGAGGCAGAGGGAAGGCAGGAGTGGGGTGGCCTCACCAATCTGTTGCATCCTTGGGCGATCCTTTGCCTCCCACACCACAGTGGCAGCCATAGAAGCCATAACTGGATGCAGCTTCCTTTCCTGTCACCTTTGTAATCATTTCCCAAAAATTCCACAGAGCCCCATCAGCTTGTTGCAGGCCTGGAAGGAAATTGCCAGGGGATGGCAGCAGGAACGCCATGTCCTCCCTCTCCGTCTCCCTCTGCTGCTCCCCGCCCCCACCCATGGACTATCTCTTTCTGCCACTGAGGGAGCCCCTGCTGCAGCGGGAAGCTGGGACAACAGGGGCTCCCCCTTCCTGGCTATTTCTGTGTCCAGAGATGAGCTCTCACCAAAGGCCGCGACCAGCGCCAGCAGCAGGAGGGTCCTCATGCCAGGTTCTGTGGGGGGAGATGCAGGAAGTGGACCCAGAGACCTTTTTAGGGGGCCACTGCCACCAGGCCTGCTCTGCAGCTCACACTGCCCAGCCCTGGACAGGGGAGCCATCAAGGGCTCCCAGACAGGCTCCCGTGGGATGTCCAGGCTGACGACCTTCATCCACTCAGAGGCACAGGCGTGTGCAAGAGCAGGACCCCCTGAGGCTCCCAGCTCTAGGATGTTTTCATACACACACAGGCTTCCAGCCACCCAGACTCCCATGTGATCCCCCAGGGATCCCCCAGGCTCCTGGGACTGAGGATTCCTGGAAGGCTGTGGCTGTATGATCCCAACAAAGTGGGCTTCCCCGAGGCCATAAGTTATGTGTCCCCCATTTGACATATATTCCTTGTGCCACACTGGATCAGTAGTTTGAGAATTCTATCTATAAATTCTAATCTCTAATATTTTTTTCAGAATTGAAACCACCCCCTCTTTTGCAATACCTTCCAACCCTTTGCATCATACACAAACACAAACAAATATATGTTTACATGTGTGCCTGTGTTTGACTTAAGCTTCCCCACTAGTGCAGACTCCATTCGCACCCTACACTCATACCCACACAGCAAACTCTTGCACATGAGCCCTCTTACACAAACCAAATCATGTGCAAACGCGCTCATGTTCAAGTACATCCACACTCACATGCACACACACACACAATACAACCACTCTCCCAATCAACCGATGAGCAAGGACTGTTATATTCCTAATTCTGGGTATTTACCTCTCAGAGAATGCTGGAATGGTACCTCCAAATGACTGCCTTGTTTATATATTCTCAGCTCTACTCCCCTTAAATAGCTGCTCCTCTGGGAGGTTGGGAGTTGTTGGGGTGTACAATTGGGGTGTGTCTGTTTTGCACCAGTCTTTGTCAATAATCAAATTTGCCATTGGACCAGCCCCTGCGGTCCCTCTGATAGCAGGATATCTTTCAGCAATAACCATAAGGAATCTTTGGGGGGGATCAAGTTTTTTGCTTCCAAGGGCTGGGGCTACATAGTGAGGTTATGGAGAGAGAGACAAAGACAGAGATGGAGAGCTACAGAGAGGGTGGGAATGAATGGGCTTGGGTCAGTTTTTCCCGAGGTTGAGAGCAGGTGTCTCGGTTTACAAGGCTCACTATTTTTTAAATTGAGACAACATTAGGTGACAACACTGTATAGATTTTAGATGTACAGACTCACTCCTGCAGCTATATGTGCGTGTGTGCGCGTATGTGAGTATATACATATATGCACCTATATATGTATATATGTATGTATATATATCACTTTTATTGGTGAATTTAAAACATAATAACGGGAGTTTACACTGTAGCAAGAGAAGGGGAAGAGAGTAAGCAAGTGCCCATATGGCCAGTGGAAAAAACCAACCAGCACCTCTAAACAAAGGCACCTCAGTGTGGGGAGAGGGGCTGAGGCTTTCGGTGTGTTTAATCAAGATAGCCATGTTTGACTTGGATGCCACATTGAAGGGGATGTCTTATGGAAAAGAAGGGGAAAAAACAGCTGTCAGGGCTTACACTACCATCCGGCCTGGGACACTAAGACTTGGCCTGAATGGTAAGGACTTAGCTGCCAGTGTGGCAGGTACACTAAATGTCAGGGGTGGCGCAGGGTGGGATCTGGAAAGTACACATCTGAAAGAGACCATTGTAGCAATGGTCTAATTACAAAGGGGATGATTTGCAATCAGTTCTATAACCATCGTCCCAAACTTGAATGGGTCCAGCCATGAAAACAGGCTAATGATGTCAGGAGCTGCCTCTGGGTACCTGTTCAAGGAATTTAGGTGATACTGTGAGATACTTTAACATCTGGGACATTTGAAATAAGTAGATTTGAACCCGTCTTGAGAAGGGAGACTGTTCCATTTCTCATCAAAGGCATCTCTTAGTCTTAAAATTAGGTCAGTTCAAAGGTGGTGTCTCCTGAGGTGGTCGGGCAGCTGGGCTCCCAGTGTTAAGTCTGTATGGTGCAAGAAAAGGAAAAGAAACAGGGGAGAGACTGGGGCAGGCTATAGTGACAGTTTCTGAGTTCTGAAGGCAGCCCATCAAGAGGTCCAGAAGCACTCCCAGCTTGTTCAGGGATTGTGAGAACAGGAAGCAGCATGCTCATGGATTTTTCTGGTTTGCAGTTTGTATGTGTCTGGTGGTCTGGGGGCCTGGGGGGCTACACAGCAACCCTCATGAAAACTGTCCACATGTGCACAGATGTGATGATTTCTCTGAAATTCAGATCAAGTTGTCTCATTTTTTAACTTGGATGATTTCAGGAAAAAAAAAATTAGTTCTCAATGATTCCAAGTCAGAAATATGGGGGGGGGGGCGGAAATTGACCTTTTTAGTTGGGAGAGTTTTAGTCCAATATTGGAGGAAACTAGAAAGATGCAAGATCTAGTCCAGTTAACAGGTAGAAAATAAACCCTCAAAAACAACTCAGAGTACTAAGAATTTTATCAGCACAATGGTGGACAGCTAAAGCAGAATTTTCATCTCTACAATCACCCCCATTTCTATCAAAGAGAACCATATTAAGACCAATTATTTGCCTATTAGACCTGATATTAAAAGAGTTGGCCAGGTTATTTGTGCAAGAGCAGCAGGAATCATGAGTGACCTCATAAGCTATTTCAAAGTTTGATTATTGGAACTTTTTGCAAGGAATCACAGATTGATCTCTTATCACTCTTGAGGATAAAAAACCAACCCAAGCCAAGGACTCGACATCAGGCTTTCCCTGAAATACTTACAGATTTGGGTAAATTCCCCTCCTTTTGAGGTCCCCAATATATCCTGAGGTTTCTGAACCCATAAGGAAGTCGTGTTCCAACTCAGTGGTGAGGCTGCTGGGAACTGTATAAGCAAGATACCTAATTTCTTTTTAAGATTTATTTATTTATGCATACAAGAACTAGGGTGTAAGCCAGAGGTGTGGGGTGGGGTAAAAGGACTCACCAGAGAGAGTGGGGAGCAGAACAGGCAGATCTACTGAAATACACTGCTGAGGGGAGCAGCGGGCGAGGCGGGAGAGGTCTGCTGTGCCATGTGGGTTGCTCCCTTGCCGGCAGGAATTGAACATGTGTTGCAATGACTGGCGATAGCTTGATAGAGGTGTCTAGCCCCTGTGCCACCAGGGAGGCCCATACCACTTAGTTTTTTTTGTTTGTTTGTTTGTTTTAAAGATTTATTTATTCATTTATACAAGCACTGGGTACAGTCAGAAGCATGGGAGGGTGAGAGAATTCACCGGAGCCAGAGCAGGGAACAGAACAAGTAGACTAATGAAGTACACCGCTGAGGGGAGCAGCGGGCGGCAGGAGAGGTCTGCCACCATATGGGTCCCTTGCCTGGCAGCCAGGCATCACACCGGCCCTGCAGAGACTGCGGCAGCTTCGCAACCCAGCGCTCAACCGCTGCATCACCCGGGAGGCCCCTCACTTAGTTTTTACAGTGACTTCATTGGCTTCACAAAGTCAACCTTAGTTCCTTAAAGCTGTCTGATCATATCTGATTTTAGGTACATTCTCAAAAATGACGTTCCAGCAAAAGTTTTTGCACTACCGCCAACATTTCCAATTGGGTCTATTTTCCGTTCTGAAATAACCAGCCTTGCTTTCTTCTCCCTAACAAAAATATATCTCCAGTCCTCATAGTTTTTCCTAGCCAAAAATACACTCTACTTTCCTTAAGTAGAGAGTCGTTCCTCTTATTATTTTTGTTAGTCTTAATTGCCTATATTAGATGTTTAACCCTTAAACAAATTTAATTTCTAGTGAAAAATAAGTCAACAATTGTGAATGATCGGTCATTGACAAATTCATGAATACATTTCATAATTCCTAAAAGCATACATATTTAGAAATACATGACATAGTTTAAGAAATCTTTGGTTCCTATGACACAGGAAGTTAAAAGTAGACAAATCTAAGTTCAGGGATTGATGTTGAAGTATTTTATCTTACTTGAAGATGATGTTGATAGTCATTAAATAGCCATCACTTAACTGATCTCACCCTGTTTTCAGATTTTTAATTTCTTTTTTTAGAATGAGCTTTTATTTTTCCTTTTTTTCCAGATATAGCATTACGTAAGTTTAAGATACGAATATGCCTGTGTGATACCCTTATATATGTTGCAAAATGACCGTAAATGAGCTAGTACCTCCAGCACATCACAAGATTACCATTTCTTTTTTGCGTTGAGAACATTTAAAGATCTGTACCCTTAGCAACATTCAGATAGATAAGGCTGTGCTGTAAAACTATCGTCAACATGCTGGTCATTACATCCCCAGAACTCATGCATCTCATATCTGGAAGTTGGATTAACTTTTGATTAACTTCTCCCCAGCAGCCCCAGGAAACCATCATTCTAGCCTTTGTTTCTGTGATCTCACAATAACTTGTAAGTTTTTAAGTCATCAAAAAGATTTGGGAAACTATTTTTGAGTCACGTACAAAGAAAACATCATTGTAGTTAAAAAGTTCACCAAGAAACTCTTATGCCATCTCTATTTTAAGTCTTTAATTATGTTTAAACTAGCCATAAAAACTTCATGAGACACTGGATAAAATCAGCCATTATTCCAAGCTATTTGCCTTGTAGACAAACGTTATAAGAGATAATCCGGGTTTATTCAACTTTTTACTATTTAATGCTAATAGTTTTAAATACACTGCTGTTTAATTCAACTAACAAACTAAAATGAGCTCTTATTTACTGAAGATTATCCTTGATCACTGAAAAAATATTTGTATTAGTTTCTGTGTGAGAATTTAGAAGCACATATTTCTCCCAAGCCAATTAAAATTCTTTTACAAATTAATTTAAGCAATGGCAACCAGAGATAGAATGTCATATATTCATAACTTATATCCATAGACAAAAATAAAAACACTGACAGACGCAAGAAACCCCATAGCTTCTGTTCTAAAATTTAGCCAGGAAT